GCATGCCGCCTCTCTTCGCCGCAGGGCATCTCCACCTCCGCCCCGACCCTCGCCCCTGCCACCCCTCAGGAGACGATCGCCCACCGCCTGCTCCACTCCCACCGCTGCATCAAGCAGCAAAGACGAAGCACGACGCCCCACGGGCGAGCCACACCAACCGCACAGCCACAACGCGAAGGACAGGGTGGGACCAAGTCCCCCGCACAGTCTGCCGCTGTTGCCTCTCCTCAAAGCAGGCTGCGGTGGGTGCCGCCCCACGCACCCTCGCGGCGAGACGCGGCTCACACTCCGTCCACCATCCCCCTCCGCAGCGGAGAACCAAAAGAATCCTCCTCGTGCACTACCTGCGCCTCTCGCAGAAACAAAAAGAGGAATGGGGGCATGTCAGCAACACAGCCAGCAGCGGCAGCAAACACAACACGCAGCGACAGCGGCTGGCACGGCGCAAACCAAAAGTGAGCCGCAAGGATTTGCCAAACTAAAGTAAAATGAAAAAACAAAATTAAGGTGGAAGCCCAGGAGGACTCCTGGCGGAAACAAAAACAATATAAATGAATTACTTCGGCAGGCGCTTTCACTTCACATGCCCTAAAGCACAAGAGGGCTGTGTGTGAGCGTACTCATTGCCTGCAAGAAACGGAAAAGAACTGCCTGGTCACACGCATCACCGCTGCACCTCACGCACGGTCTCCGCGGCCTCGTGTCTCGTTTGGGCAGTCCGTGGAACGCACAGCCACGAGGCCGGCAGCGTGCGTGTGTTGATGGCAGCGGCAAACAGGAGGGGGAAGGGACGCCACCCATTGGGATGTGCGTAGCAAATGACCATTGAAACAAAAGTGAAAACAAAAAGCAAAGGAGTACCCCTCAAAGCACAGGAGAGGAGTTGGCCCACAGAGACGGCACGCAAACTCGGTGCACAAACACTCCGCGTCGCCCTGCCAGGGTGTGTGTGGGTGTGCGGGTACCCCGCAGCAGTCACTCCCCAGCAGCACAGGCAACAGCAGCCGTCAGCAGCAGCATCAGCGTGCCACGCACCCACACAGTGAGCGTGTCGCTGCCGTCCGCGTTGCCTTTTGTGTGTTTCCCACCACTGGGGCTGCTGCTGGTCGTGGTTGTAGTGGCGCTTCCACCA